CTAGAGCATCTGAACCAAAAAGGCCAACATTTGATTTTTTAAAGAAAGAACAATAAAACTATAATCAGAGTTCTTTTAGTTCTTTACTTCATTTATAAAATATATTTAAAAGGATCTAAATGATAAAAGAATAAGTTTTAAAAGACAGAGCTCAGATATAGAGCTAGGACATATAGCTCGAATACACAAAACTTGGACACATAATCTTCCCTGATACAGAGCCTCTGTATAGCACATACAGAGCCTCTGGATCACAAAATCCCAAAAATACTTTGAATGATTTTCCATGCGACCAGAGGTCCTCTGGTCCATCTTGAACACCAACCAGAGCTCCTCTGTGTCTTTTTTAAATACTTGTTCTGTACATCAAAGTGCTCAATATTTCATCAAAATTATTTGAAATCGTGGCCAATTAATGCCTTTGGCTATAAATTATTCCCCCCTTCTCAATAACATCAGTGTTATTATTTCAATAAGAGCAATACCTCTAAGTCATCAAGTCACATAGAAATGCTGATTTAGAATTATCGCATCTTATGGTGATAATAACAAGAGTTACAATATTAATCACGCCCACAAATGCCACCCTTATATCCTTAGATATTCCCCTCCTTGATATGTCACCCTTATTCATACCTCAAACATGGTTTCATATCATAATAGACTTATGTCACACATGTTTTGAAGAAACCTAGTTCCATAGCAGAACAAACTTATGTCACACACATTCTGAAGGAACATTTAAAACATAGTTTCATGCCAGAACAGACTTACGTCACATACGTCCTGAAGAAACACTTAAAACATAGTTTCATGCCAGAACAAACTTACGTCACACACGTCCTGGAGAAACATTAAAAACATAGTTTCATGCCAGAACAGACTTACGTTACACACGTCCTGAAGAAACATTTCTCAAAATAAGTATTTCTTTCAAAACAGACTTATGTCACACATGTCTTGAAAGAAAACATCAATATCTTTTCCCAGTTCACAATTCTTATTTAAAAGATACAAAATGCCCTTTTCACTATATAAAATAGTTTAAAGCTGATTAAACAAAATTTGTGAAATATCATCATTAAATAACATAAATTTTGAGCCAATTCCCCTTCATCGACCAACACTATGGCCGATGAATCCTCCTCATCAGTCAACTGTATCCGGACATCATTACCTGGACAACTGTATCCGGACATCATTACCCGGACAACTGTATCCAGACATCATTACCTGGACAACTGTATCCGGACATCATTACCCGGACAACTCTATCCGCACACACCCTAATTGGACACCAAGTGTCTGAACAAACCCTCATCGGACAGAAAGTGTCCGGATACAATTGTTCACCGGTCAACACTTGAAAGAAATAAACATAAAACTCAACTCTTTTTGCACAATGAATAACAAACCGGACAACACTATGTCTGATAAAGGGTCCTTACCAGATATGGATATGTCCTATAAAACCTCATCTGCCAACATTATGGAATCACCAAACACTTTATCGGCCAAAGCTTAGTCAGTGAGAAGCCTTCTTCGGACAACACTTGTCCGATTAACAACTCTCATCGGACAATGAATGCATTAAGAACATGAACTTAAACTCATACAACAGCAGTATAACTTATGCGTAAATCAACAATAAAATAGGTTCAAAGATGCTTTTAAATGTAGTAAAACTCACCTTTGCAAGTTTTAAATTTGAAGAAGGAAATAGAAGATAAAAAATCAGCTTCTACTTGATCCTAACCTTAGTTTTCAAATATAGCAAGAAACCTCTCTATATGTTTTTGACTCCAAAAAGGCAGAAAAACTCAAACTTGCCAACTTCCTCATTTATATACCCCTTCCTTTTAAGGAAGGTGGTTTCAAGATTTATTTTTATACATGCAAATTACCTATACATGCAAATTACCCAACTCTTCATACACCATGTACTTCATGAATACACATGCATACATATACACTTTCATGCATATACATGCATACATATATATTTTCATGCATTTTCACATAAAACATGCATACACATCAACTCTTTATGCATGAAACATATACACACTTTCCATTCATGAAAAATATACACACTCACATATTAATTTCATGTAAGCATGTATCCATATGATCAATTAATCAGTTATTCACGTGATCATATAATCAGGTAATCACATAATAATTTCCTCAGGTGCATAACCATCCATTTCATACAAACTATATAAACTAGCATCAACCAACAACATAATTCTATTTTTTCCTTTTATTTTTAATGCATAAGGGTATAATTTATTAAAATATCCCTCATTTTATAGTTTCTGGGTAACTCTATTTTTAATTAGGAATTTATTTAATTCTAATATTTACTCATAAAATAAAAAAAGTTTTTGTTGAATATAGATTTTCCAGATTTTCCTAACATTTTTTTTTAAAACCATTCTAATAATAAAATCACATACATATATATATATATATATATATATATTTTAAAGCTCTGATTTTGTTTCATTAATGTCGATATCCATGATTTTATTCTCTCCTTTACCAATTTATACAAATAATTTGCATTAAGATAGTTATAGGTTGTATAAGATCGTATCGTTTCATCTTGAGATTTCAATTGGTTGAAACTTTTAATGCGATTGAACGGGATGAAAGCGAGGAAGTGGAATTGAATACGGGGAAAGGATATTTTCAGTGAGTTGAAACTTTTAAAACTTTTTCCAGTTTTTACTCTTTCTTGTATAAAATAATAATAATTTTTTTACTGTACTAAAATAACTTCTTTTAATAATTGTCTTTGATCATGAAAATGGATGGATGAGATTGATATGTAGGGTTTGTACAAATGAGAGTGATTTGTATTTTATCGTTCCTCTCTCTCTCTCTCTCTCTATATATATATATATATATACACACACACACACGGGAGGGATCAAATGCAAATCAAGTCATTTGTACAATCTGTATAGTACAAACCTCATGCAACCAATTATAATATTTTTCAATTTTTTAATGATGAAGATTGTTTAGTAATTTTTATAGTGGATGACGTTAACTACGAACATTATCATCTTCATTATATTAATTTTTGAAAACAAATTTCATCAAAATGAGAAATACATGAAACAATTTCTTTTTTACAGAGAAACAAAAACATATGAAACAATTTTATCAATAAAAGAATTATATGAAACAATTATTTTAACTTGTTCTGGTTTGAACCATGATCCCCCCCCCCTCCTCTCTCTATGTATGTATGTGTGTGTGTGAGAGAGAGAGAGAGAAATAAACATTAAAAAGAAAGAAATAGACGGTTGATCGTGTATTTATGGCACCAAATTATAGGGCCATGGATGTTACATGTTGTGTGATTTGTTGGCAGCTAATGCCATTTCAATTGTGTCTTTGGTCGACAAACGTTTCGAACCATGATTGGATACTTATCAGGAAGATGCGTAGAAACCACTCTTTGCGGCTTTTAAAATGACGTAGAAAACTCACAACGCATCGACTAAATTAATTCTAAGGTGTTGTATATGTCGTCCATTTATGAATCAAGAGTAGATTTGATGTTTGATACTTAAAAGACTAGAGAAGAAGAGAACTAGGTTGAAGGCCGTAATCATAAATGCCTAAGTAGCTACTCCATCAAAAGAGGCTACACTCTTTAATAGATTACGTCTTCATGTGGTCCTTAACACGTTCTATATCACTACAACAAATTAAATGACCCTTTTTGTTTTAGGACGTATACGTATATATAACCTTTACCTTTATTTCTCAGTATTTTATTGCCACTTTAAGGCTCCAAGTTGTAGTGTTATATATATAGATGAGTTATTATGTAACCTTTTACATTTGTATAACTAATATAATTTAATTTCAATCGTCCATTTTCATTCGATGAATATGTGATTTCATAAAAAATTTAATTGTTTCATAATATAAAGTATTGATCATAATTAATGAACCTTAATTATCTTTTATAAATGAGTCTTTTTGTTAAGGGACGTATATATAACCTTTATTTGTGAGTATTTTAATGCCACTTTAAGGCTCCAAGTTTTATATATATATATATATATATATATATATATATATATATATATATCTTACATTTAATATATTGATTAACATATATTTATTCTACAATATGATCATTTTTTATGTAAACACATTGTGAAATAAATATATGTCAATCAATATACTAAATTCTAGACCTAGATGGAAAAAAATCATGTGAAACAATATTTTATAATTATATAGTTCTCAAATTTATCACAATATAATACAGGATTTTAATTTCATTATGTAATTTAAGTTTATAGGACGTCACAAAGTTCAGAGCGTCTTATTAAGCTGTTTTATAGAACTCAATTTATAGAATTAAGAAATAAAAGATCCTATCTAAAGGTATTGTAATAATTTTATAGGGTGATTTTTGGCATCTTAACAAGTTTTATAGGACATTTTTAATACAAAACGTCTCATTAACTATTTTATAGAACACTATTTGAAAAAAAAAATGTTCTATAAAAACAAGTGTCGTATAAAAATATGGGTTTATAGAACAATTTTCAAAAGTGTCCTATAAAATAGCTAAATAGGCCACTTTGTAGTAAAAGTATCCTGTAAAACTTGTAAAGACGCTTAAAAGTGTCCTATAAACTTATTACAATGCTTTTACACAGGACCTTTTATTTTTTGGTCCTATAAAGTTTTATAAAACAGTCTAATAAGACACTTTGAAATTGGTATCGTTCTAAAAACTCAATTTTGTTGTAGTATATAATATATATATATATATATATATATATATTATAACTGAGAAAACTTTTTATATATAATGATCCTCTCCATGACCTCTCAAATCGTTTTTTCCCAAGTGGGAAACTCATTTTTCCAACCCTACATTGCTAGGGTTTCTTCAATCAGACGTCTCTCTCTCTCTCTCTCATCTCTCAATATTTCTTTAGAGAGAGAGAGGAAATTAAGCAATGAAGAAACAACAAGTAGTGATAAAGAAGAATAAAACTTCGAGTCCATCGGTGATTCGAACAGTTCATTACGGACAATGCTTGAAGAACCATGCGGCTAGCATCGGCCGGTATGCGGTAGACGGGTGCAGAGAGTTCATGGCAAGCGGAGGCGAAGGAACGAGAGGTGCGCTGTCGTGTGCCGCCTGCGGCTGCCACCGGAATTTCCACCGGAGAGATGTAGATGAGGTTGCTTGTGAGTGTTCTTCAACTTCTGACAATTAATGCAGAAGTATGCAAAGATATTCATTTTATCTTCTCTGTGATTTTGTGAATATATATATATATTTGCTTAAATTTGTTATTTGTGTTAGAAAAAAAAAAGCATTTTCTTCAATTTATCGTATTAATTAACACTTCATTTCTCTTTAAATTTTTATTTATTTATTTAATTGTTTTTTTTAGATCATATTTGTAATGAATTTCAGTTGAAATTAGACTTTAATTATTAGAGATGGGAATTCTCCTTATGGCTTTATATGTAGTGTGGACCAAAGAATTTTATTTATATGTAGTGTGGACCAAAGAATTTTATTGAGCAATTGTAATACTTTAAGGTGGATCAAAGGTCTGTAAAATTACAGGTTTAGTAAGAAAGAAATGAGAAAAGTTGACTCTGGTTTTATTCGAGGAAAAGTCTGTTATGTTGATTTCGAAATTAGTACATTTTTCAAATTGAATCAACCATGACTTTTCAAGTAAAACACAACACTGTATTTTTAACTGAATTCCATTTGTTATAGGGAACTTCTTTTTGGTTAGTTTCATAAATTTTTTAGTATTTCATATTATTGTTCTCTTGTTTGTTTTTAGGTTTTTCAACTTCGTTTCATTATGCATCTAGAACTTCTAGTATTAGTAGAATGTTTTGCGACAACAATCAAATTTATGACTGAAAGCAAATTACAAAATACAAACAAATCGACAGGAAAAACTCATATTTTGGGGAAAGTTAATTATCTAAAACATGATAATATAACAAAAAAATTGCATATTTGCTACAATTGAGGATTGAACCCAAGACCTCCTACAAAGCGGAGTTTTAGTTAGGACTAGGGGTGTTTGCGGGCAGGTTCGAACAACTTAATCCTCCAAACCACAAACTAAACTGCAAGTGACGGTTTAAAGAAATTTTCCAAACCGAACGGTTTGGCCACAATTGACCAAACCGGTCAAATCAGACCACAAAATGACGGTTTGCTTTGACGGGTTTAAACGGTTTGAGCTTCTTATGGGTTTTAAACTAAAAAGACTATAACATCTATATCCAAAATAAATATTCTACCAACATAATGTTATTAAAAAAAATAGTATACATAATTATAAAAAGAAAAATATATATCTCTAAAATTAACAAAAAAACATTGAGGTAATTAAAAAAATTAAACAAGTCCACCAACAATAGTTGGAATTTTAGACAAACATTGAACAAGTCGAAAGACGATTTCGAATTTTTTATTTGATTTTTTACAAATTTCAGGATTTTATCAATTTAGATAATGCGGTCATTTATGAAAAGTAAAAATATAATGTCTTGGACGAACTTCCTTTTGATTTTAAGCCATAAAAGTTGAACCTACAACATGAAAACTAAATATAATTAATACTTGTGTATTTTTGGCGGTCTGTTTGATACAGACTACTCAAAAAAACTTTCAAACTGCAAACCAGATCAGCCCAAGCTGTTTGGCTAATTTTCAGACCAGACCGAACTGAGATTTGATAGGTTCCATTTATGATGTTCGATAGAACCTTTTGCACCAAGAATTGGGCATAGATTTGGACACTGGAGTGAGGCCTTCCACCCCTAGAATATGCCAAAAATACCGCTCAAATCCCGTCAAAAGTGGTCCATTTTCATTTTGTTCGACCGATTTGAACGATGTACGGTCTTTTTGAACACCCCTAGTTAGGACAGCTAAGCGGCTAAGCCATCCGCTCACCTTAAATTTATATTCCAAGCTAGGTTTTAAAGTATATCATGGCACACTCAAAATCAAGCGAGTATACCTTCACGATGCCTAAATTTTTTCCCTTGCGATAATCAAGTGAATGAGTACACTAGACCCCACTTGGTAGGTCCGCCCTTAAATATCTATCTATCTACACACACACACAGAGGACCACGCTCGGTCCTTAGTAGGTCCGCCCTTTTATATATATATATATATATATATATATATTGTGTGTCCACATTCAATCAATCTTCATATAAACTCTTCAACAATGACATATTTGGATATGAACATTAAGCACATTCAAGATGAACTTTGAGAGAGAAAGTCAAACTTCAAAAATCTGGTCAATTCTTCTATTACGTATTATGAATTTTACAAATGAGCTTCTTCAAACAATTACAAGACTAACACCCTATTTATAGGGTCAAACAATAAAAGCCTAGTCAAAGTCAAACCTTACAAACAAAGTCAAACACGATGTCTATTTTAATTATAGACAATAGTAACTTTCAAGACGAATACAATTTTACACTGACTTTCAGTCCTAACATTCTTCCCCTTTGTATTAAGACTTGAAAAAATTTGTGCGCGTTGAATCTCGTTTGAACTTTGTCTCTTAACGCTCTCTATGACTTCTTAAGAAACATCAAAACAATCTTCAATTTGAGATCTTCAGGTAATCGTTTGTTGAAAAATATCTTCTAACATTCTCCCCCTCGAATGTAGAACATCGATGATCTTCTCTTTTGACAATATAGAACAGTATCAACAAGAATCTTCAGAAACAATGTACAAGATGTGATCTTCAAAGAATCTTCAGACAACAAACTCTAATAAATTTTCTCTTTGAAAAGAGAACTCTGATGGTAAACTTTTGAAACATTGATCTTCTCATTCAAAAACTCTCAGACGTTTTAGCACATGAATAATCTTTTGTAGTCATCTCCAATCGCATTCCTTTTGAGTCTTTTGCCATGTTTAAAGTTACTCCCCCTTGATCTTTACATCAGATTCCCCTTTATAATGTCCGAAAATGGATATTTCAATCATTATTACATACTTCCCTTTATGATGAAATGAGAATCATTCCATCATACACAAGAATGAATGAAATSYTCCRCGHAARCCKTCAATTCAWGAAATWGTAAGTAGATCTTTTCAAATCCACTTGTTTAATCTTTTCAGATTAAGGGAATGGGAAGATAACAACCAATTTCAACGTATGAAATTGTTTTCAATCTTATAAAAGATTGGCCTATGAGTATAACAAATATACTCAGTACAACGGATGTACTGTATATATCAGACTTTTTGAGGCTCATCTCACCAGGTCTTCCATTCAATCATCGATAGCTTAATAAAAGCTTATCTATGAATGTTTTGGCAAAATAACATATAAAATGCAAAATTTGTGTAGTGTAGAAGGATAAAGCAACGTATGCTTCTGTTTAGGCTCAAAAAGATAAACCGTGTGGACTACACAAATTTATCAGACTCAATTAGTGATCAAAAAGACTTGAAGGGGGGACATATATCCTTCTGATTCAATATCAACTTTCTCCGAATGAGAAATTGATAGATGATGAGCTACGTCCCCCAAATGTTATTGAAACATTTATCTGTTGAGAGATAAATGAGTAGCTGATGGGGTTGTGACAAGAATTGGCCTGGGCTTTGCCTTTTTCAATATTAGTCTCGAAAAAATTGAGAACTAATAGATTATGTGGTATGCCCGGATTTTAAAAGTTTAGAACAGGATTTTCGTATTCTTTTAATCCTGACACAACTCTCATTAATTCTTTTAACTCACAACAGCTACTCCTCTCATTTTCATTTTAGTCTCAGCACACAACAGCTACCCCTTTTGTATATAAAGCTCACTCAGATATGGTTGTCCTCATGGGTAGGTTTGTCGGTTCTGATATTCCATTGAGGTATTTCTGATAAGCACTCAGTCCCTCCTAAAATTTATAGTTATGCACATTTGATCACAAGAGTTGATCAAAAATAATATTGCATATAAAGCACAAAGATTAGATAAAATTGATCAACAAATTTAGCTTTAAGCACAAATAACGAAAGAATGATGCGACAACGATCATATTATTTGGTATATGAGAGAAATGAATGAAGAGCTGTAAGAACAAGTTTACAGATTCTGATATTCAAAAAAAAATATTGAAAGTATATCAATCAAAAGAAAAAAATATCAGAAAACAAACTTCGAATACAAACGAGCGTATTATCATCGAAAATGATTTTCTTATAAGAGACAGGTATTGGAGTTATGATCGATGAGAAATTACACAAGTAAAATCTCAGGAAATATATGTTCAAAAAAAGTACTCGTTTCCCAAAAACAACTCATTTATCAAAAACTTTTATTGAAAAACTTCTAGAGACTCCCCCTAGAAAATTGATTAAGTAATGTTTCAATTTAGCTCAAAAGAATAAAAAAAATGGAAATATGTTTAGCACGAGTCATAAACTGAGTGTTTAGAAACCACACTAGGTAAAGCACGGGTCCTGAACTGAATTATTCAGAAGCCTCATTTGGAAACAAATTACAACTCCCCCTGCATTGGTGTATCACTGAAATGATATTCTGATCATCACAAAATTGACACACCTGCAAAACCAGATTAAGTAGATTTTGGTACCCAAATGAATTTGGGTCCTATCATGTTAGTATCGGGTTGGGGTATGTTGTATTTTCCAAGCTATTTATTCTTATTAGATATATTCTCTTTAGCACTGTGAACAGGATGATCAGGAAATAAAATATGAACCGTACCAGTAATTGTGATCATACCTGTTCTTACCATTCGAATTGTTCTGATATCTATTGTTTGTACTCCATCTGTTGTAGATCTTCTTGTTCACAAAATTTGTTGATTTACATGTGGAGCACATGATCCTTTTCTTGCTAAGATTTATCAAGTCAGAATTGGATCCCACAAAACAAGGAAGATTATTAGTAGCAACAGGAGCACGAGTTAAAACAGATTCAGATTTACTAACCCAAATGCTTTTAATCTTAGAAGAATAATTAGGTGATCCAATGACATACCCTTGATAATACTGATTAGAAGAACGAGAATAGTTCTTAGAAATAGTAGATTTAGGGCTGCTAGAATAACTGTTCGATTTGAGACAGTCATAAAAGCTAGTTTTACATTGTGATGGAGAACTGATAACTCTCATTTTGTATGAGTATTTGTTGTTTAATACCCCTATTTTATTGTGTCTTTGGTACCCATTTTGCTC